GTGTTACTTAAACCGCCTTTTCGTTACTTTGGGTGGGGCAAAAATTTTGCCTCACCTCCGCTAAAAAAAAGCCTCACAATTCGTCCAGGATGCGTCCCACGCGTGGCCTCAGCTGCCCCGTGGGTGCCAGTGTTTACAAGCCAGCCAGTGGGGTCGCATTCACGCATACATTCGGTACATTTCATGTTACCCACAGTGTTTTTAGTGATTCATAGCTGCAAAAAATAAGTCCCCAGGGGGCCCCAAGAAAGCTTCTAGTGTCAACCCTGTGGTAAAAAGGGTGAAAATTACTATGGAAATGAAGAGAGATAACTGCTCAGTACGAAAATGGAGTGCATGCTCGGAGCTGGCCAGGTTGTATACCAAACCCCAATCAACCCATCGCTACTATCGTGACCAACAAAACGGCAATCAAGGAAGCTGTTCTTGCAAAAGGTGAAAGTTTGTTTTCGAAACAGAGATCGCAAGTAATTGAAGATTTTGAGAGCCCTGTTTATTGGTGTGGATAAATGAAAAAAGATGCAGGAATAGCATCTCTCAAGCGACAATATGTGAAAAGGCTAGGATTTAATTAAAAAAATGCCTGCAACTAGTGGTGATGTGAGTAAATTTTTAAGGGCCCAAAGCAAAGGTTGGTTTGAGAGATTTAAGAATCGTAGTGGCATACATAGTGTGATAAGGCATGGTGAGGCTGCCAGTTGGGGACCAAAAAGCGACTGAAAAATATGTGAAGGAATTCAAGGACTAACAGACAGTGAAGGATGAAACCTGAACAAGTGTTTAATTGTGACGAAACGGGCCTGTTTTGGAAGAAAATGCCAAACAGGACCTACATTACTCAGGAGGAAAAGGCACTCCCAGGACATAAGCCTATGAAGACGGGCTTACTCTCTTGATGTGTGCTAATGCTAGTGGTGATTGCAAAGTGAACCCTTTATTGGTGTATCACTCTGAAACTCCCAGAGCGTTCAGGCAAAACAATGTCCTCAGGGCTAATTTGTGTGTGCTGTGGAGGGCAAAGAGTAAGGCATGGGTCACTAGAGACTTTTTCTATGACTGGTTACACCATGTATTTGCCCCCACTGTGAAAATTACCTCCTGGAAAAATAAATTGGGCCTTAAGTGCCTCCTGGTATTAGACAATGCTCCTGGTCATCCTTCAGACTTGGCAGAGCGACTCTCTGGGGACATGAGCTTCATTAAGGTCAAGTTTTTGCCTCCTAATACCACTCCTCTCCTGCAGCCCATGGACCAGCAGGTCATTTCAAACTTCAAAAAACTCTACACAAAAGCTGTTTCAAAAGTGCTTTAAAGTGACCTCAGACACTCGATTGACTCTAAGAGAGTTTTGGGGAAAAATCACTTTAGTATCCTCAGTTGTGTAAACCTTATAGGTAAGGCTTGGGAGGGGTGACTAAGAGGACCTTTAACTCTGCTTGGAAGAAACTGTGGCCAGAATGTGTAGACAAAAGGGATTTTGAAGGGTTTGAGGCTAACCCTGAGAAGCATATGCCAGTTGTGGAATCAATTGTGGTATTGGGGAAGCCCTTGGGTTTTGGGGGTTACTGAGGAGGATGTGGAAGAGTTTGGTGGAGGAGAACAATGAAGAACTAACCACTGATGAGCTGCAAGATCATCTTCAACAGCAAGAGGCCAGACCTGAGGAAACTGCTTCGGAGGCGGGGAGAAAGAAATTGAAGAAGTTGTCTATTCAAAGATTAAGGAAAAATGTGTGCAAAGGGGCTTGAAGTGCAAACCTTTATGTGAAAATCACCCTCACACAGCTATTGCAAGCCATGGCTGGTGACTATTACAATGACAATGTTGTGAACCGCTTTAGACAAATCTTTAAAGGAATGAGGGGTACAAAGCTCTATGGCCAGATATGTTGTGCGACAGAGGTCCAGTGACTCTCAAGCTGGTCCTAGTGGCATTAAAGTAGAAGGGAATAACCCCGGGAAATTTGGACTTGCTACCTAAAGTCCAATGGAAGGGGGGATTCCCCTTCTAAACAATAACAACTTCCACACACTCCCCTCCTCCCATCCTATCAATCACACCAGATCTTAAATAAAGGCAAGTGTCACGTATTCATCTTAGCAGAGTATTAACTGTGCATGTCTTCTTCAGTTTGCGTATTAAAATTAATATTTCATGTGGTAAAATTTTTTTTTTTTAAAACTTTTGGGTGTCTTGCATTTGGGTTAATTTGATTTCCATTATTTTTTATGGGAAAATTAATTCGCCTTACGATAATTTCGGCTCACGATGAGCTCTAGGGAAATGATTAACCCTTAAACTGTCCAAGCAGATCTATGTTCACATGCGTAGTGCTCCAAAAGTAGATCTACGTTTTTTTTTTACATATTTTCAAATATAACAAAAAAAAGTAGATCAAAGTTTTTTTACATGTTTTCAAATGTAAAAAAAAAAAAATCTACTTTTTTACATACTTTCAAATGTTGAAAAAACGTAAATCTATGTTTGGACAATTTAAAGGTTAATATCGTAAGGGGGGTCCACTGTACACAGTTACATGCAGTAAAAAAAGACAAAACTGCAATGAATATCTTCATTTATACAAGGTTTTTACCTAACATTGGGCTTTTACAACCACAAGCAAATGTAAGAAACAATGGCTTAAATACTCCACAGGGAGTGATATCACTTTTTCATGTCACTCCTAGGTTACCCAAAAATTTTATTACCACAATGATCAGCTGTGATTTTGCAAATACTTAAATACCTTATTAACACATTAATGAAGGATGGGATAACTAGGTGGGTTTGCAGTCTTAGAAACAGTACCACCTGTACTGTTTGTGCTCTTGAAGCACTCGGTTGATGGTTGTCTTGTAGGTTAGTACTTCCCTGTACTATAGAGTGGGCGAAGAGATGATGTGGCCCATGCTTTGTTGGCCTCTTGTGACTTTGTATCCACCAAAGCTGATCCGACACGGGAAAAAACCACGCAACATCGTCACCAGGTCCTTCCCCTGGTGCTTTTGGGCCCTTACTGAAGGGGACACAAATATTATCATGTGATCTTTCCCTCTTGGCATACTACAAGTGTACTGGTTTATAAACCTCGGTAATTTAAATGACAACTTTTTAAAAAGAACATGAGCAAAAAAATCATACTTATTTTTAAAAAAAAAAATTTTTGGGACCTTTACGAGATGATCAAGGTCCCGACCAATGCAAAAAAATTTTTATGCATTAATGGAGAGAAATCAAAGTGAACCCCCTTAAGAAGGTGTGCCAAGGGGGCCGTGTTGGGACCTTGTTTTTTTACAGTCTGCAAAACACATAGATGGTGGAAAAAATAGCTACATGAGTAAAATTTGCAGGCGATACAAAGGGCCATCAAATAATTTTTGAGGGGGGCTCAGGAAGACCTGGGAAAGGTTATGTGAGGCATGAAATGACAGATCAATTTCAATGCAAACGTTAAAGGGTTCTAATCCTGGGAAAAAAAAAGCTATGGCCTTTAAAAACAAACCCTTTCCCTTTAAATCATTAAAATAGTTTTAAAAAGAGGGGCTTAAAATTTGGGAAAATAGTGAGTGTTGTCAAAAAACCACAAAAATTTTGGATGCTTTCTACAAACACCCAACTGGTTTTTCCACAATAACCCGCACATAAAAAAGAAGTTTACGACACGTTTGGGTCCGACTTGGACCATTGAAAAAGCCCAATGGTCCAAGTCGGACCGAAACGTCGTCGTAAGTTTCTCTCTTTTATGTGCGGGTTATTTGTGAAATTTTTCCAGCCCCACTTTTATTGGTGCCTTTTTGTTTTTTTATAAAAACCGGGTTCCTTTTATTTTACCCCGAGCAGAGTAATACAAAACATCTTTAAACTAACTGTAGGCAGAAAAATGGCTATTTTTCGAGCCTATTTACGATAAAATAACCCTTGTTTAAATTATTTTTAAAATAAAAAAGAAGCGCTAACCACAAGGGCTATACAGCGCTGCGGGGTGGGGAAGGAACAAAAAAATTTGGATGGCAGAGGGGGGGGGGAAATTGATCAGCGGGTTTACAGAAAACGGGGGGAAAGGGGAAAGTAGGGGGGAAGAGGGAGAAAGAGAAACAAGAAAAGGGCCCTGAAAGTATCAAATTTTGTAAAGTAATCATCGTTGTCAAAAATCAATAAAAGTCCGGGAAGAAAGGGGGGTTTCCATCACAGAAGGGAAGGAAGAGGGGAGCAACGGGGCGAAACGACACAAAAAAAATTCTGCGGCTCGTTGATAAAGTGGGCTTTCCCAAACAAAAATTTTGGCTGATTTATAAGGAGTTTGGGCAATTCTCACAGAGGGGAAAACAAGACGCCCTCCATGAAATATCCATGAGTAAGACGGGGTATGGCCAAAAGCGAAGAGGGGAGAAGTAGCCCCCAACCTCGCCCATGGGGGGATAAGGGGGCGTCCGGGGGGTTAACCTATCCCTCGGTTTTTAATAGACGAAGTTTGGGGCCGAGCATAGTAGACCAACTTGTTGCCAAGGGGTGGGGAAGGGGGGAAATATTCCCAGCAAAATAGTCCTACTTTGGAATCCCTCTTTTAAAAAAACGGTGGGCCCTGTACTGCGGGACCGGCGCAGCATTGCCCTGCCTTTTCATTGCCCTGAAACGCAACATGACCAGGACCCAACAAAAAACAATATCTTTTTTGCTTATAAAAAATGCGGCGTAGCCAAAGTTGGAAAACAGGACAAAAGGGTTGAGGTGTAAAAAATTTTTTTAAACCCTTTAAAAGCACAAGGGGAGTCTGAGACAACCAAAAAGTTTACACAGGCATAGATGCAATACGGAAAGTCCCTGTAAGGAGGCATAAAATTTCCCAGCAGTAAAAATAAACTGAAGATAGAAAAAAGGCCCGGGAAACGACGCTGTCCGGAAACACGGGCGCGAATCCTACGCCGCAGAAGACTTAGAGCCATTTTGGGGTACACAGCAATGGCATAAGAATGAGATGAAAGGGGTCAAGAAAAAGAGAGCGGGAAGCACCGTAGACTTTTGGGGCTTTCGAGAAAGGGGAGGGAGAAAAAAACAGCCCTCAAAAAAAACGGCCCGGGACCCCCGGGGTTTTTTTTAAAAGGGAAAAGTGAGATGCTACATTAAAAAGGGAAAGGGGAAATTTGAAGAAAAGACAAAAGCGAATGAAGGCGAAGAGAAAGGGCCCGGAGAAGCAGGGGGGGCGAACAAATAAAGAATGCTACTAATTTTCAGTGCCCTTTTCAATAAAGGGAAAGGGTTGGGGGAGATAAATAGACGTAAATAGACCGGGCAAGGGGGCTCAGGGCGATCGATAAGGATGGAACTTTCGTTTCTGCAAAGAGGTTTTTCCGACGGGGGAAAGCGAAAAGCACCAAGGCAAAAAACGAAATCCTTTGGGTGATAAATTTGGGGTTAAGGCTAAAGAAGAAAGAAGAATCCCCCTGAATAATCTGGTCCCAAAATTTAAGTTTCATAAAATAAGGGGGAAAATTGGGTAAAAGGAGGGTTCGAAAAATCCGGCTCCCCACAAAAAAGAGCGGGGGTTTTTAAAAAGGTTCAGCCGGCGGGTGACAAGTTGCCTTTCAAGGGGAAATTGTGAGGTTTCCAGGAAAAAACCCCAACAATCAAAAAAGGGGGCCCAGAAACTTGATTTGTATCAGGGTTCCCGGGTTTAACTTGACCATAAGGTACAAAAAAGGACCCAGAGATGACAGGGGCGTCAAGTAAAAAGTGTTTTTGGGGGTTTTTTAAGGTGCGGGAAAAATTTTTAAACCCATGTGTGGTGGCCCAAATTTGGAAAAACCGGCGACTGCTTTCGGGAGAAAAACCCTTTAAGGAGGTGACAGTCAGCGCCGCACAGGCAAAAGCAAAGCATAAACAAAGAGTGGGGCCCAAAATTTATTTGATGGAAGACTGAGGCCAAATCTTTAATAGCAAGGAAAAAAATTTTTTGTGCTCAAAAACACATCCCGGGGGACACCCTTTCAGCTTGGAAAAAGGGCCCGGGGAGAGAAACATTATTAACCCGAACACAAAATCCCTGTCATTTTAAAAAGTTTTTTAAGGAAAGGGATGGTAAAAATTGCCTCAAAGGGCCCAAGGAGGGGGCCCTTGGGGGCTAAAATTTATACCCCCAAAGGGTTGTGTCAAATGCCTTCCCCAAGGTCAAAAAATAGGGAAAATAACTGAGGGGTTTTATTAAAAAAGGCATTACGAACAAAAACGTACCAAAGCGCAGTAAGGGCCTAGGGGTAGAACCCCCCTACGAAACCCAATATTGACGAGGGGAGAGCCCCCTGTTGTTTGTCTCTAAAACCACCAAAAACGCTTTTTTACTAGACTTCCATTACTTTGAAAACTGACTGGAAAAGAGCAAGGGCCCGATAGGGGGAGGTTTCATGCCCCCGTATGCCGGGTTTTTTGGGGAAAAGGGGAGAAAAATGGGGGGGATTTCCACAGCTGTGGAAAAACTCCTTGTGCCAAAAATAAGTTTTGAAAAGGTGAAATAGGACTCCAAGGGCTGACTGATGAAAATTTTTAAAGCATACGAATATAAAATTGCCCTCGGGCCCAGCTGCCGATGACGACAACTAAAAAAAAAGGGGTTTTTGCCTCCAGTTTTAAAGTGAAAAAGGCCAAAAAACTTTTTCTTTCTCTGAAGGAAGAAAAGCCCAAAGGGGGTGCTAACTCTCGGCAAACTTGAAGGAAAGAAATGGGGGGAAAAGATGGAGTCCCTAAAAATACGGACCAATATTGCCAATTTCTTTGGGGCAACATCCTAGTGGGTTTCCCTATAAAAACCCCGGGCAACCCGCAGAACGGGAAAGCCGGGTAGGAAATATTTACCACTCATTTTTCAAAAAACTTTTTTCGGCCGTGCCCTCTTTAAGAACAAGGTGTTTGGTGGAGCATAACCCTCGCCACCCAAGTGCTTTTAGCGTCACGGATGAAAAGGGCGACCCATCGCACCCCTTCTGTTTAAAATAAAGGGAAACCCGCTCTGGGGTTTTCTATTGTACCGGGAAACCCCCCCATCCCAGCGCGTTTCAAACGTACTCACAGCAAAAGGGAAAAAACCCCCAAAGGGCACCTTTTTCCTGAGAATCCCCTCCCGAATTTTGGGGGTATGAATGAAACTGCGGTGAAAACGGGGGACGAAAGAGGGTAAAAGCTATCGAGGGAAAGGACGAAAAAAGGAACCTTTTTTAAAAAAACATCGGGGTGTGAGAAAAGGTTTCCAAATTTTCCCCCAAAAAAATTGCCAGCGGGGGGTTCGAAGAGGGGGGCAAATTAAAAAGGGGAATAAGAATTTTTTGGGAAATGATCACTGTCATGTAATCCGGAGAACCCCAAAGGGTTAAAAAGTCTAATGGGGCGGAGGAAAGAAAAACGAGAAAACAAATGCAAAAAGAGAAATAGTCCAAAGGAAACCAAAATGGGTGTGAGAAACCTGAAATTTTAAAACAGGGGGGTGGGGGCCAAAAAAACCCTCAAACGTTTTCCAAAACCCGGGAATCACAGTAAAGACCCCCCCCAGGGGAAAAATGGGGGCATTAAAATCACCAAGTAAAAAAATCGGGGGCGGTAATGACAAAACCCGGGAAAGGGCAAAACCCGGGAATAAAATGCCCGAGAAGGAGAGAATAAAAAGGGAACAAAAGCGTATCCCAAACCTATGTAAGGGGGATAGGGGCTGCTGTAAAAATGCAGCGAAGAAAGAAAAATAGTTTGAGGGTACGGAAATCATTTGCGGAAAAGAAGGGCACTTTCTTTAAAAGGGTCCCTCAGGAAAAGGATCTGAAGAATAAAATAAATTATAAGCCGAATTAAAGAAATAACAGCAATGTAATTTTGGTTCCTGTAAGCAAACCCAAAACGGGGCAAACTGGGAGAGAAACCCTCTGAAGCTCACCCCGATTCCCCCCTGAGGCCGCGTAAAACCCCCACGTAAAAAGGCCATGT